CCTGGAAGAGGTCTGTCTCGCTAAATTCTCTCCATTTTTAATTGAAAAAATTATCTCTGCACGAGCAACACCAAAAAATGTTAAAAAATTGAGAAATGGAAACTTGTTTGTTGAGGTGGATAACAGGAGACAAGCAGAAAACCTCCTAAAAATGAAAAGATTTCATAACTCCAAATGTAAAACTTATCCACATGAGAGACTTAACACTTCCAAAGGTGTCATCAGAAGTTGGGAGTTGGCTTTAGCCTCAGAAGACGAGATAAGAGATGCCCTGGGAAAACGGGGAGTGACAAACATAAGAAGAGTGACTATAAGAAAGGGTGATGAAAAAGTCGAAACTAACACCTACATATTGACTTTTAACCAGCCCCAAACCCCTAAAGTGGTCAAAATAGGCTATTGTCTGGAAAGAGTTGAACAGTACGTCCCAGCTCATTTGAGGTGCTTCAAATGTCAGAAATATGGATACCACAGGGACGCTTGCAGAGGATGACAGACATGTGCCAAATGCGGAGAAAAAGAACCAAATCATAAAGAGGAGGAGTGCTTGAAACCACTAAAATGTCCAAATTATCAACAGGATCATCCAGCATATGCAAGATCTTGTGATGTCTACAGGAAAGAAAAAGAAATCATTGAGGTAAAACATAAGAGAAATGTCTTACTTGGAGGCCAGAAAAATTGTAGAGGTCTATATGGGTGAGACTAGCTATAACTCTGTTACACGGAGAGCTGAAACAACCAATGAAGATAACAAATATAGAACCCTAATCGAAAAACTCATATATTTCGATCCAAGCGAGTGGACAAAATTCCAGGCAGAGCTAAAGAAAGAACAGGCCAATAGTACTCAACAAACATTCCAAATGGAAGTTCCAGCTCAGATTAATAAAACCCATGACAAAATAAAGAATGAAAAAGAAATAACCAAAAATCATCACAGACACAGACCACTCTTACCAAAAAACAAGACCTGCAATGATCATCAATCTGTCTTTCAACTTCTAAAATCGATAACAATGGGAAAAATAATATACAAAACCCTGAATCGAACAAGGACAAAGAAGAACATCCATCACAACCCAAGAGAGACCATACCCCAACTTCCTCACGGAAACGTCTAAAGTCTTCAAATCTAACATGTCAATCTACAGAACAATCAAATTCAAAGCTTGACACGGAAAACAGGTTTAGTTTTTGTTGAAGCTTAAATAAGCATGGAATAATACAACACAAAATGTACGTTAACAAAATGTATTGAAACAAAGAATAGGTACACAATATTTACAGTTAGTTTGGTATATTCTTGGGAAGACTGTTCCTGCATAATGGGTTGACTAAATCGCAGTCGGGCAGAGTCTCTGGATTCAATTTCTTAATCTCTACTATCTTCCCCGTCTTCCGGTACCAACCCATATTTATATGGTCGGTAGTCCGCTTATGTAAATTAGGTGTATCATACACAACAGTTTTTTAGAAAGGATGGAAATCGATGAGCCGAACACTAAAAACAAGTCAAAAAAGAGCAATAAACTCCAATTCAGACAAATTACACATCAAACAATGAAATTATAAAATAATGCAATCCTACAGTGGAATTGCAGAGGAATCCGGGCTAATTATGAGGAACTTCAACAACTTCTGACCAACCATAACCCCAAAATAGTTTGCCTACAAGAAACCTTCTTAAAAGAAACAACCTCCATTAAATTCAAACAATACCATATTTATTAATACTACATTGGACCTTTTTTCACTGCAAATAAAACTGGTAGTGAAAAAGTACATCAATTGGCTATGCAAATGAATTAGTTTATTTAATATAAATAACTAACTCATGCCAGATAGAAACATTTGAAACCATTTACTTGAGGAAGAATAAACAAGCTGTAGTTTAAAGATGTTATCCTCAAGTTATGTTTACAAAGTATATATATTTATTATATATATGCAAACTGGATTTGGCATTAAATAACCCATAGTGGTTGATATGCCATAAAACCCCAAACAATCAACCAACCAACCTGGAATGCAATTTTCTGTACTTTTTTACTGTAAGTTTTCTAATGTAAGATAAATATTTTCCCTTAAAAATGTTTACAATATCATTCATTGTAGCAACATGAATTGTATGGCTTAGGGGGTTAGAGTTGACCAAGGGCAAGCAGAAATACTGAAATAGTTTTGTAAGGCATATATTTATGAGAAAAAAAAAAAGATAATTAGTGATTTTTTTTTTTTTTCTACTATTTAGCATTACTTTGATAATAATTTTACCGATTGTAAATCTCCAAGAAATATTTCTCAATATCTTTTGCCCGTTTTTATATAAAAGCAAGAAACTCCTTTATTTACCTATAGTCCATAAAAAACAATTAAGACAAATTCTTGGCAAGCAGATTCATGAAATTGCAATTATACTGGAGTATATAAGTAATTACTTTGATAAATTTTCTCTATTTTTTAGCTTCATCAGAAAATTTGGAAAGTGGAATAAGGTAGAGATATGTCTCAATTTTTTGAATGCTATGTTGTTTCGTTTTCATTGGTTGTGTACATCTTATGGCATCACATGTATATCTTATCGCGTTAGTGTTTATCCTTGCATCAGTTTTTAAATTCTTTTTTTTTCTTTTTTTGTAACATGGAAAATTGACCAATTTATTTGAACAAAGTATCTATAAACAAAATGTTTTTTTTTGCTATCCTTTGCCAGCCATAATGATGGAGAAAGCATTACCCCACACTGAAAGAACCACTCCATTTCATGATAAACATCCAATGACTGAAGTCCAAGTAGTTCTGCCCTGTTGGCAAGAGCATAGCATCCCCTGCAGTAAAAGGAACCACCTTCTGGGTAGATGCTTACAGACTTCATGTTTTAATGTAACACAGAGTAGTATTATAAAACTTGGTTGTCTGCCCTTTTTCTTGGCTATAATTTATGCACATGTCAAAGGGTAAGAAATGTATCACATGACAATGTAGCTAAAAGTGAAAAAGTTGCCAGTTGGTGTCTATCTCTCAAAATGAATATATGTCTATATTAGAACTCAGTTTTTCTTGCCATTCATGGCCTAACCATATCATTAACAAAATATGGAACCATGTCAACTATAAAGATCTCAAATCACTTCTTTTTTCTCTGTCAATGTGTGTCTGGTTTGCTGCTTCAACAAACTGTTGTTGCATTCAAGTTCTGTAAATACATTTTCTCTTCTGACACTTTGATTGGAACACACAGATAGAAGAGGAAGGCATGATTTTTATCTCAGTCTAAAGTGTTTTATGTTTGCTAGATAGTCTTTGAAGTAGGGTCTTCTAAATGGCATCCATTTGACTAAAAGGGAGCAAATGAATAAATAAATAAAAGTTTTAGGGATTGAAATAGTCAAATCTGTCTGCCCTCGGTGGGGGACAGACTGTCCCTTGGATGGTTCTGATGTTGTCTGTTCATATTGCCAGCTATGTGTCATGATATTGAGATGAGCAGAGAGTTGGCAGGAGGAAGGGTTAGCTTGACATGGCAAAACTTGTTTCAAGTGTCACTTGCCTACCCAGCCATGCTGTGCAAGTGCTCCTTGTGGCCTTGCACCATATTAAGTACAGCAAGGACACCTGGCACAGTGGATAAAGGCGTTAGTTAGATCCAGTGACAGGACTCAAAGGGTGTGAGTTCAATACCCAGTTAAAGCAGTAGAGAACTTGGAGAGGGGAATTAACAGGAGATAACTGATAACTGACATCCATTAGACACGGCATGTGGAACTAGAACAGTCTACCCCAGTGAGCAAAATAAAGGGTTCAGTTCAACATTCCAACCACCTGAAGAAGGCTGGAGCATATAACGGCCGAAACGTTGTAATAAATATGGCAACAAAGATGAGGACAATAGTTCCAATAATGTAAATAGTGTACATAATACCTCATCTCGAAAATATAGACAGATACTAAGTACAGCAAATATCAAATATGTCATATCAGCCTTTTTAAATTAGTAGCTATTTGGTTACATTAAGTTTTTCTTTCTGTCAAATGTTGTTAATGAATGAAATTGTGCTTTAAGTGATTTTTTTTTTTTTTTTTTTGTCATCATCCAGTTTGTAATTAACAGAGATGACAATCTGTGATTTTCAGTAAGGTTTGGCCTAATTGTGAATGTGACCAAATTCTGATGAAGAGTAATTAATTAGAGCAGATTGTCCTCTTTGAAATGAGGTTAAAATAAGAGGAAATCACAGAGGAAAATTTGGGAAGTGAAGGAAAAGTCATATATGATTTTGTCAAAAAGTGTAGAGGGTTCATTGTTTTTTTTTTTTTCTTTTTTAAATGTCATCTCCCTTCAGGTAATTGTGATGCTTTAAAGATTCACTTTCTTTATTATTTGTGAAATGATTTCCTGTTGCCTTCTTCATGGTTTCAAATTCAGAGTTTTCCTTCTTCTGGGCTGTTAGCTACCCAAGGCTGGAGATGCTAGTCTACCCAGCTATTTAACCCCAACGGTGGGGAAAAGTGACAGATTCATCCCTATCTCAAAAGCATTTGTGCAAAAGTGAACTCAATAGACTAGGTGGGAATTTGAAATCTACTTACTGATTCTACTTTTGACACTGAGATCTGCTACACTACCTGTATGTTCACTTGTAGAGATAAATACCATATGAAAGCCAATAATCAACACTAGCTTAATTTTTTTTTTTTTTCTTAACCTTTTCTATTATATATAATACTGTGCTTAGTGTATAAATAGATTGATTTGTTTTCTACAGCTCATCAACACTTTTCAGGCTGGTCAAAGCCAGAAAATATATTTTTTTAGATTGTAAGCATTTTTGGGAGATAAGTCTTACTAATTAACCCATAGCTGGCAGGGGAAGTGGTGGATTCATGCTTTTTCTAAGGGTATTTGTGTGTAAGTGAATATAATGAACCCAGTTGGAACTCAGCTATCTGATTAACAATTCCAAGCCATTATCCATTACACCATCTATCCTTCCAAGCTTACAGCACCTTGTATTCCCAAGTGGTCACCCATCTAGATATTGACAAAGCTTGCTGTTGCTTAACTTCGGTGATTGTACAGGAACCGGTGTTTCAACATGACATGGTCATAAGCTATACCATCCGCACATTCAAGCTTACAGCACCTGGTATTCCCAAGCAGTCACCTATCTGGGTACTGACTAGGCTCAATGTTGCTTAACTTCTGTGACCTTATGAGAACCAATATTTCAAAGTTATATGGCCATAAGCCATACTAGCTGTACATTCAATCTTACAGCACCTGGTATTCCCAACTCGTCTAGGTAGTGACCAGGCTTGATGTTGCTTAACTTCTGTTATTGTACAGGAACCGGTGTTTTAATATGTTGTAGTCATAAGTCCTACCACCCACACATTTAAGCTTAAACACCCGGTATTCCCAAGTGGTCACCCATCCAGGTACTGACCAGGCTTGACATTGCTTAACTTCATTGATCATACAGGAACTTTTCTTTCATAAGCTCTTTGTGTATAAAAATTATTGGTCATGTGTTTTGGCAATTCAGCTGGCCATTTTCAAGAACTAAGAAGTTGATTGTTGTGATACACAATGGTGATTATAGATCTTAGTTGATTTTGTTTATTTTCAAATTAAGTTTTTGAATGTAGGCATTATGTTATTTCTGCATTCTGATGACATAATACAAGACGACATGTGCAAGGTCCTTTTCTGGGTCATATGTTTCAATCTGGTGGTAAATTATGTTCAAATTTTCTAATTTTCTCTAATTTTTTATAATGGAATCATAGTCTTTAGATGTGTCCATGAAATAAGCTTAGGAATAAAGGTTTGAAAATATTGGTACATTCTTATAATAATAATAATTAAACTACAAATATCCTTTAGCAGTGTCCATGAAAGAATAAAGGTCTATAGAAAAAAAAATACTTTTTGGTACAAACTAATAATAGTAATATAATCATCATTATTATAAAAGTAGGTTCTCCTATCACCCAGTTCACACTCCTTCCTGGTCTTTTGAACAAGAGTAGAGGTTTATCCCTTGCTTTCTGTTTAGTATTTGGTTTCTGGTTCCTTCTGAGATGTTAATAAGAAGGGTGGTCATAACTTTTTGATGATATGACTGTCTGGAGGCTACAACTCTTAATACATTGGGTACCAGGTTGGCAGTTTTCTGATTGTTGCATCCCAACTGGTAACAAGAAGACTGAACACTTTGATAACACTTAGAGAGACTGTTCTAGTCAAGTCACATAATATTAGGATTCTTGCAGTGCCAGTTTGCACCTTGATAGGCGTCCCTGCAAGCACTTCCAATGGGTAACCCTGAGTGTGCACTATGTTGTAGTCTTCCTCACCTTCTGGTTGGCTTGTATTGCCTTAGATCAGGGGTGGCCAAACTTGTTTAATGTAAGAACCATGTAAGATAAAGATCAGTTGTTTGAGAGCCACAAGATATGAAATTAGGATTTAAATTCTTATATATTTTTTACTAACCATTAAACTTGCATTTTAATCCAGTGTGGTTTCAATTCATCCCTAGTAAATAATTATAAAGCTTGAATTTAAAAGGAGCTCAGTCAAAATATTTCCATGAGCCGCATGTTAACAGTCAAAGAGCCACATGTGAGTCACAAGCTGTGGCTTGGCTACTCCTGTCTTAGATGATCAGCAGTGACTATTATTCTTGGCCTCTTTCACCTTAAAAAAAAAAAAAAAATGCCATCTTCTGTCTTCCTGAATCCTGTTCTTTTATTATCCTTTTTCCACATGAAAGTATTCTCTTTCACTCCTCTCTTTCATTTGCATCATAGTGGTGTTATTGCCTTACTTGGGGTGAAATGATTAAAAAAGATACAGTCACTGATAGTTTTTGTATGTATGAATGAATAATCTTTGGAGTAATGGCATGAACAAAAAATATAAATGTCCATTAAAAATATCAGTCATTTGATTGAAAAAGATTGTACTTGGTTTTAGTTTATTTTAATCTCAAATGCTATAATTACTTTTGCAATCTGTTGACCCAATTAGTAAACATTAACAATGAAATGAAAGTCAAGCACTTTGTTATTAAGGTGATTATTCCACTTCCTTCCAATATCAATTTCTTATTGGACTTCAGGATTGTCAGTCAAACTGGAGTTGTATTTAATCAGTAATTTGATCTGCTGTTGGAAAAAATTATATGCTTTAGATGGTATTTTCTTTTTCTTTTTATATATTACAAAACCATCACTTATACAACATTTTCAACCACCAACCGACTTTCAGTTCATTGGCATGGCCACATAAGCCAATGTCAATTGCTTTATGTTGTGTAGTGGCTGAGCCCCCCCCCCACCGACCACAGAAGGATTAGTCTAAGACTAATTAAACAGCACACACTCTTACTGAGCAAAAGGAGTTAATGATTAATCATTGTTCTGCTTGTTGATACTCTGTCTCCGAGCAGAGAGGAACCCAGACAAGGCTATGCCTGTGGGCAGAGTCTCACCTGGGAAGGTAGACAGCTGCCCAACCCTGTGTATGCAGGGTCTACAGGGAATTTTTGCCTGAGTGTACCTGCTTGGAAAGCCCCACATTAAAAACTAGGTTTGTGCCACATCCTGCCTTGTGGGAAAGTACTTCCTATTTTCTATGTGTGTGTCAACCTTTCCTATTTATGGCACAACAAATATATATATATATATATATATATATATATATATATATATACACAGTAGCGAGCATGAAGATCCGAATGATGTTAAGAAAAAGTCTAAATGTGAAATAACATTTTATTTTAAAGCTTCATAGAACATTTTATCAAGGAAAAATAAGGATATAAATGTAAATTATATAATTCCAAAATATAAAGCTCAATAAACTTATTTTGATAAAGTTATAAGAATAATTATATCACATTCAAAAAAAATAGATGATCAAAGACATCAGAACGATTAACAAAATCATACTATTATATAGATACATCATATTCAAATGAAAATAGTGTTCATAATTCATCAGTACTTGTGTAGATCTTTACTTGCAATAACAGCTTGACATTTTTTACTACATGAGCGAATTAATATCTTGCATTCGTTAATGGATATTTTCTCCCATCCACTTTTCAAATTAATTCATAGTTCTTCGATATTTGTTGGATTCTTTCCCTTAGCTCTTTCATTTAGTAACTTACAAACATTCTCATGTCTGGGCTTTGAGCAGGCCACTCCATAACAGTAACATCTCCTCAGAAAGAAATGTTTTAACAGACTTCACTGTGGGACGTGGCGCATAATCTTGCATAAATACAGCTGGTTGATTAATTGCAGTTCTCAAATTGGGTACATGTTTCTTCAATATCTCTTTGTATACAGTTGCATTAATTTTACCATGTAGCCTAATAAGAAGTCCCATACCAGCAGCTGAAATCATGCCAAATACCATCACACTTCCTCCTCCAAATTTAATGCTGCTTTTAGTGCCCTGAGGTGAATATCGCTCCTTAGGACTGTGTTGAGCAAACCTTCTCCCTTCACAAGCGAACATGTTAAACTTTAACTCATCGCTGAAATGAACACAATCCCACTGTTCTTCTGTACATATGACATGTTCAGTGTCAAATTTCAATCAGCTCATTTGATTCTTTTTAGAAATGTAAGGCTTCGTAGAGGCTACTCGACTGTTCAGATTTATTTCATTAAGTCTTCGGGAAATAGTGTGCCTTGATATTTTAATGCCATGGTTAGCATTAGCTCTTTTAGAGAAAGCGGTTGCTGTCGCAAATCAATCCTTTTTTGATTCATTACCAATCCATCTGTCTTCCCTTGCAGTAGTTTCCCTAGGCCTGCCAGGTGGTTTCTTGGCTTCACATGACCCAGTTTCCTCAAGTTTTCTTAAAATACTATGAATAGGACTTAGATTTCCCCAAAGTCTTTGAAATATCCCCAATCGAAGGTTTTATCTTCATTACATAACTTAACTATCAGTTTTCTAAGTTCAAATTACGTCAAAGATTTTTTCACCATGTTTACAATGCAAGAGCCAGTAAAGAGTCAGTGTAATTTAGTAAAATACCCTATTTTATATTCTTACCATAAAAAATTTTCAATAAGGCAAAATAATTATTAAATTTTATGGATTTATTTAATCGTTCTGATGTTTTTGATCATCTATTTTTTTCGAATGTTGTATATTTATTCTTATAACTTTATCAAGTTTATTGAGCTTTATATTTTGGAATTATATAATTTACCTTTATTTCCTTATTTTTCCTTGATAAAATGTTCTTTGAAGCTTTAAAATAAAAAGTTATTTCACATTTAGACTTTTTCTTAACATCGTTCTGATCTTTATGCTTGCTACTGTATATATATATATATATATATATATATATATATATATATATATATATATATATATATATATATATGTGTGTGTGTGTAACAGAAAATTTATCATGTTATGATTTTATCCTGTTTTATCCATAGGTGATGAAAACTGAAAATCTGCATAAATTTATTTACATTTGGACTAATGTCCTCATCTTTCTGTTTGATCTGTTGTGCTCTCTAGCCTTCTTCGAGTCTCTGTCAATCCTGGTAACTTTCAGAGAATTTTGAACTGAACTCTTTATTCCATCTATGTTTTGCTGTCCATGTCGATGGATGCCTTGTTTTGTTCTTATTTATTTGGTTGGTTGTTCTTGCTTAGTGGCATAGCAAACACTGTGTTATTTAATGCTGAAATCTAAATATTTTGTAGGTAATCTTTTTTTTTCTTTTTTTTTTTTTTGTTGTGGGGAGGAGAAAATAATGATTTTACTGATACAAGTCTTAATAATTAACCTATAGTTGGAGGAGAAGAGGTGGATTCATACATTTCCAAAGTTTATTTTCACATAAGTGAATGTAACAAATTAAATTGGAATTGAAACTTGGCTGTCTTATTAACAACTCCAAGCCATTATTCATTATAACACTGGCACATTCAAGCTTACAATATCTGACATTCTCAAGTGTTCACTCATCTAGATACTGACCATTCTCAACATTGCTTAACTTTAGTGATCATATGGAAACTGGTGTTTCAACATAATGTGGCCATAAGCCATTTTTATTTAGTAATACTCAATTACTTGAGCCCTGTTTCCATTGAATGTAAGTCTGCATTACCAGGCCCAAAGATTGAACTCAGAATTACTGTCAGCAATTACTCGAATCAATGCTTTAATCTACTAGGCTATTGTCCCATTCCTGAA